ATATTCAAATATCCAAAATAGAGTTAACAAAAGACAAAATGATTAAAAGATTAGGACATATGTTGCAATATAGAAAGAATCATTTCATTAAGGGTAATATAGACATTTCCATAAAAAGGAATAATAACAGGCCAAATAGAAAAATCTCCCTATCCCAACTATGCAAAAATAGTAAAAACATGAAAGCCATCAAAATTCATTTTTTACGGCTTAGTATTATTTATATCAATTTCGCTTTCTGACTTTGCTTAGGATAAGGGATTTTTTACTTTCCGCTGGCATTAAAAATGAACCATATTGACCCAATCTTGAGCAATTTTTAAGAACACTTTCCTCTACTATGTCAATCATTGTTAACTAGAATAATAAGTAAGAATAATAAACATACCCCATGAATGGCATGATAAGGTGAACACAGAGAGTCATAATCATCAAGTCTAGTAGTTATTTGTCAAAAATACAAAATTTCGCAAAGCCATAGGAACAATATGCAGGAGTTGATGCTAGCCCAATGCCAGAAGGCCAAAAATACTAGTGGCCTGATGATAAGGAAAAGCAACGATCGAAGCCCGACTAATGGAACAGTAATGATAGCCGTGTTAAAGTAGAGGGAAAAGTTCATAATTCAGGGGTATTCTTTATACCAATTCAAGAATGAGGTAGATTGTTTAAAAATTCAAAAATTAGGTATATATTTAATTAATTAAAAATAATGATGTCACAGAGATATCATTATAGGTCACATTTTATTTATTGGTCACAAATCGTCAAATTAATTAGTCAAATATTATTTTAAGGTCACAAATCAAAAGTTTTATAGATCACAAATCGTTAAATTAATTAGTCACATTATTTCGAGGTCACAAATCAAAAGTTTTACAGGTCAATTTATTTCTTTGATCACAGATTTAAAAATTTATATGTCAAAAATTATTTCGAGATCACATTAATTAGTCACAGATTATCAAATTTTTAGGTCACATGGTCACAAATAATTAAATGGTTGGTCACATACGACAAATAGTGGTCGCAGACCACCACCACCAACACTGTCGCACCGCCGCTACCATCACGATGGTCACAGATTATCAAATTTTTAGGTCACGTGGTCACAGATAATTAAATGGTTCGTCACATATGGTCATAGACCACTACCACCAACACTATCGCATCGCCACTGCCATCACGGCCACTTGCAACCACCCTCACCCCATCACCGATGCTAACAAAAATCAGGACCACCACCGAAAACCATTATAGTAACCATATTCAACAAAAATCACCCATCCATTAGATTCACCACCGCCGCCACCAACAACAAAATCACAGCCAACCATTAGATCCACTATCGTCGCCAAAAATCACAGCCACCATCACATCCAATGAAAACACTGCCACCGCCTCAAATTCCCAGAAAAAATTCTCCAAATATGTCGGTCGACACCTCCACCATCGCCTCAAATCACAACCCATAAACTACATATAACCACAAACTTTGTGTACTCTCAGCCACAAACATCGAAAAAGCGGTTGTTGGGAGTGGAAGTAGTTCACCATTCATTGTCAGAAGACGGGGAAGCGACGATCTGTGCTACGAACTTCCGGCGGTATTCGTCGCCAGCCTCTGTTGAATAGGAAAATGAGGAAAATATGCTAGATTTGAGGGAAGCGACGATCTGATGCTGTGAATTGAGGTGGTGCAGTGGGGGTGAGAGAGAGAGAGAGAGAGAGAGAGAGGGTGGGGTGAATGAAGGGGTGAGTGAATTAATTAGGGTTTGACATACTTGACATGTTCATAAAAAATTTCCTCACCTGATGTTTGCATCCCAATCTTTAAACACCTGGGACGGTGTAATTTCCACTAAAGTATAAGCTAATCTCTAAAATATTATATGGTGTCAATTCTCAAGAAAAGAAAGTCTTCTTTGTATACTGTTGAGAATTAGAAATGTAAACTTTACACCATCGGGAACAATAAAATCACAGTACGAAAATATTGACACAAAGGAAAATGCAAGATTTATAGAGGTTCACTTTAATGTGAGAGTACGTTCTCATCTGTCCCTACAATATTTCAATATAATAAAAAGGAGTTTACAAGAGAAAAATCGAAAACTATATTGTCTCTAGTTTCTCTCTCTATTTTTTTTTATGGGAAATGCTATGTATACACAATGGTGTACATACAGCATTACACCCCTTCACATGGAGGGAGCCCACATACGGTAAAATATTCGTGAACCCCTTTCCATGTGAAAGAGGTATAATGCATTGTGTACATCATAAGGTATACACATAGTATTTTCCATTTTTTATGGGGAATTATCAAAAATGACACTTTTTTGAAAATTGCTATAAAACTTTTGATGCGCACTAAATTTTATCAAAAATGTCACTTTTTTGGTGGAAAATGTCCAAATTACCCTTTACCTCCCCTTTTTAGGAGCATTAAATGCTCATTAATGGTAGCCTCCAATCCAATCAATTGTAATGATTTCATTATTTAATATGTATATTATAATGATTTGGTAAATGTATATTATATTGTATAATATAAATTGACTAAAAAAAAAGAAAAGAGAAAAGACGTAAAAAAAATTTAAAAGAAGAAAAAATAAGATAAAAGAAGTAAAACAATCCTAATTTACATCAAATACATCCCTTCTTGAAAAAACCCTCCATTTTCTTTCATCTTCTTTATTCCTTCATCAACAATATATTGCTATTCAATTCATCATCCATTTGGAGAGGTTAGTTA